CGAGAGAGAGAGGGAGGGCGAGAGAGGGAGGGAGGGCGAGAGAGGGAGGGCGAGAGAGGGGGAGAGAGAGAGAGAGAGGGAGAGAGGGAGAGGGAGGGAGGGAGGGAGGGGGAGAGGCAGGAGACAGTTGCACAGAGGTGAGAACAGGGCTCCAGTCCCCATGTATCTCCACCAGCGACTGCAGCAGCACTGGCCCTAAGGAGGCTGAGGGCTGCTGGGGACAAAGCTGGAGGCCCACGAAGGCAGGTGTCTCCCAACCTCCTCTCACTGACCTCAGAGGGTGCTGGGGAGAAGGCCAGGCCCCCCAGGGCTGCTCAGCCCTTCCTGGAGTGCACCCCAGGCCTGGCCTCTGCTTGCAGAGCCTCACAGGACGCGAAGGGGCAGTGGAGGGCTGAGTGGGCAAGGAGCCCTTCTGTGCCGTCCCACCACACGGCACGCCCACGCCATGTTCACATGCACACACGACACATACATGTGACACATGGGCATGCCCACACGACACATGCCCGCGTGCTCACAGGCGCACAGGACACGCGTGCACACAGCATGCATGAACACATGCGTGTGACACAGGCATGCCCACGTGCTTGCACTCCCTCTGCTCCACCTCCTCGTAGGTGACAGGTGGTGCTCCTAGCCCTCCCTCGGGCCCACCCTCAGCCGAGCCATCGATTCTCCCTCCCAGGCTTCCCAGGCACACAGGAGAACCCCGTGGCCACAGTCCTTGGCCTCTGGCTCTGGGCCAGGTTCCTGGGCACTGTGCTGCTGACACAGCCTCCCCAAGAGGTGGCCCACGTAGGAGGCCAAGGCAGCTGCTCCCCGCGGGGCCACCCAGAGGCCAGGGGAAGCCACACCCCTCCATGAGCTGGTCGGAGTCTGCGAGGATGCCACAGGCAGCACCACCGGGTGAGGATGTAGAAGGAATTCCAACTGCCCAGTTCTGGAAGCTTGATCCCACCCTTCCCAAGCAAGTGGCCTCCTGCTCGTGTCTCCCTCAGACTGGTCATCACGGCTGCGGGGTGGGGGTGAAGGTGCAGTCCCAGGTGCTGCCTCCCCCACAGGAGTGCTGACCCTCAGGAAGCAGCTGACAGGCGTCCACCACCTGGGGTGGAGCAGCCTTGGCTCTGCCTGCAGGAGGGGGCTCCTCCCTCAGAAGCCCCCTCCCGCAGGCCGTGGGGGAGGGGGTAGGGGCATAGAGGGGACGCCCTAACCAACTGCTGACCAGCTCTGCTGGCAGCAGGTGCCCGCGACTGCAGAGCGGAGGGAAGAGGGGCCCAGCCCCATGCCGCAGACCCTGCAGGGGTCTCTCTACCCCTCTCCTCCCTCCCTCAGACTGCTCAGCTCAGGGGTGGGCTGGGGGGAGTGGGCAGGGGCTTGCCCTGGGGCCCTGGCTTGCTCCCAAGACTGCTTGTCACTGAGCCTGTGGGTGCCCTGTCCCAGAACACAGGGCCCAGCCTTCTCGGCCACACCTCCACAACACCGGCCTCAGAAGAAACAAGAAAGACCCCCAGGGACCGCCCCTCCCAGACGGAGCCCTGCCCACAACTGCTGCTCCTCACCGAGGACCCAACCAGGCCACACACACGCAGTCTCAGTGCACGACAGAGCAGAGGCAGAGTCCGGAGTGCGCCAGGTGCGGACAGCTCTATTGGACGGCCCCGGACCCGCCAGCCCCGCCCATGCCAGGGTCTCTCCGTCCCCCACTCCACGGTTCCACTCGGAAGTCCTCCTCAGCCACCAGTCATCACAGGGGACAGCAGCTCCACGCTGCCCACACCGGGGCCTCCAGTCCACTCCACGGGGAGCCCTGCCCAGCCTGCGGGAGCCTCTGCCCCGGCCTGCCCTGGTCTCCCCGTGGGAAGTGCCTGCTCCAGCCCCCGCTCGCATCATGGCTCCAGCTCCCGAGACAGGCGGGATAGCTCCCGCTGGTTGTCGATGACCTTCAGCTGCTGGACGTACGCCCAGGTGCTGGCCGGACTCCGGGTGCTCAGGGACTGCTCCGAGCCTGGCAGGGAAGAGTGGTCAGCAAGGCACTATGCCACGTGATGGCGACCGCCCCCCCTCCCCCAGCAATCTCCCCCTCCCAGGACCAGGGGCAGTAGAACACCGTGCCTAGGAGACGGGGTCTGGGGGCCGGCACTATGGCACAGTGGGTTAAGCCGCTGCCTGTGATGCCAGCATCCCAAACAACGCCGGTTCGGGGCCTGGCTGACCCACTTCCAATCCAGCTCCCTGCTAACGCACCTGGGAAGGCAGAAGATGGCCCGGGTACTTGGACCCTTGCCACCCTCGTCGGAGACCCGGATTAAGCTGCTGCCTTTGGCCTGGCCCAGCCCAGCCATTGCAGCTGTTCGGGGAGTCAACCAGCAGATGAAGACTGATTTTTCTACCTCCCTCTCCCTCTCTAACTCTGCCTTTCAAATAAAATCAAATCTTTAAAAAAATCAAAATAAAGGCAGGGTGTGAAGAGAGCAGATCTCGGGCTGCAAACATCAACCTCACCGGGGTCAGAAAGAGCCAAAGCCAGAAGCACTTGCTGTCTTTACACGTTTAACCCATGAGAGGGGTCCTGAGGAGGAGGGGTGTGTGTGAGCGACGCCGTGATTTCAAAAAACAAACAGGAGCCACTCAGAATTCAGGGAGTGGCTGCCCGGCTGGGAGGGGCAATGACTGGCTCCAGAGAGGCATGCGCTATTGGGACAGACGCAGACTGGGGGCGAGGGCTGAACCCCATCACACAGCGTGGCAGTTACGGACCTGGCGGGGTACCCTGCTCGGGTTTCAGTTCTGGTCCTGCTTCCAACTCCAGCTCCCTGCTGATGCGCACCCTGGCAGGCAGCAGTGATGGCCTAAGTATCTGGGCCCCTGCCACACACCTGGGAGACCCGGATGGAGCTCCTGGCTCCCGGCTTCAGCCTGGCGCAGCCCTGACTGTTGTGGCCCTTTGGGGAATGAACCTGCAGACAAAAGACCTGCCCCCCACCAGCCCCCGACCCCATGTGTCTGCGTCTGTGTGTCACTCTGCCTTTAAAATAAA